ATGAGATTCTCCGACAAATATGATTCACAAGTTGTCTCACATATATAAATGATATAAATAATGGAAAAAATGATTTTAAATGTAATAAATAATATATGGATCTTGAAAATGAAAAGAAAATTAGGCTAAAGTATACATTTGGTCCTTTAACTTTATACAAGGTTTCAATTCAATTCCTTAACTTTAAAAAGTATACATTTGGTCCTCTAACCTTAAAATCATGCATTAGGCTTCAATGACAATTTTTTGTAATAATTATAGATTCTTTGAAAATTAAAATTAATATGTTAGCATATGAGAATGTCTTATCAACATTTAAGATTTTAATATCATCATTTTTTAAAAAAAAAATTTTAAGGCTAAAAGATTAAAAGTATACTTTTTAAAGTTAAGGGATCAAATTGAAACCTTATACAAAGTTAAGGGACCAAATGTATATTTTAACCAAAAAATTATAACAAGTTGACTGCATGCTGTAGGGTCAAGTGTTTGCACTTTCATACGAATCTATCTTTCTTAGTTATAGGTTGAATAATTGGAAGAAACAGATCATCGGAGTTAAACGTATACAAATTTTTATGGGTCAGTCACATAAGAAGACAAGTATCACATTTGTCAAAAGAAATTTCTATACGTCAACTCTTCCAATCACACTTAATCCTAGCTAATTTGTTCAATAGTGTAGTTTCTCATAAAATTTAGGTACTATTACTTCCTCTTCTTAATATAAGAATTAGTTAGAGATTCAATTTAGTTTTAAATATGATATCCTAATCCACTTTCTCTTCATTATTCATCCATTTTGCCCTAAAATAATCTCTATATGATGATTGCACTTGTTGAAGAAGTTAGTGTCAATGAGTAATCAAAATGCATCTGACTAGTAATTAACATATTAAATGACTAATACTTGAAAGATTGGAGTGGATGAGTTAATTTTCGGAAACTAAATTGTAATTGAATCAAAATTATACGAATTAAATAATTTATTTTTTCTTATATTAATATTGATGATTTGAAATTAATTTAAAACGATAGGAAAGAAAGGAATTAATAAGATCCATATCTTCAAAAAATATATAATTCAAATGACATTAATATCCTTAAGCTTTAATTATTGCAATCTCATGGAGCAAAAACCGAAGTATTATTGCATGCACTGAATTTATTTATTTATGGATGAACTATACACTTAGTTCTTTAAGTTCGCATCAAGTTTTAGCATTTGTCTCTTAAGTTCATAAATCGTTTTTTTTTTTTGGTGATGAACTAGGGTATCCATATTACCACAATAGTAGTGACCAATTTCTTCACACCATAAACTTCTCAAAGAGGCTTTAATTATTCCCTTAATTTTAACATCGTTAATTTTATTTAACAAAAAATGTTGAATTTGTAATTAAATATTGACAATGCATGCTTATAATCATTTTTACAATATGAGATTAAAATAAATATAGCATGTTTATTTTAATTTTAAAATATAAAATTAATTGTATTAAATAATTAAAATAAAAATAAACTTATTGAGTACAAGTTTATTATTATTTTAAAATAATAAAAATGGCTATATAAGCTTAATTTTTCACTACTTAATTGTACAGTTATAAATTAAATTTACAAAGTAAGTATTTTTCGTTAAACGAGTTTAATGATGTTAAGATTAAGAAACTGAAGATATATTTTATAAAGTCACGAAACTAAACTAAAATTTAAAATAAATTTAAAGGATGGAATGAACATTAAATTTTTATTTTTGATATTTTTAAATTGTCAAAATTATGTAATTATAATAGGGAAAGCAAGGATATTGACAGCTCAAATCCACCAGATCAGGTTCTAAACCCTTCAACGCTCCACCTTCTATATATTATAGCCTTAGAGATAATGTATCCAATAAGTATTATATGTAGTAATGTATTATAATAAAATAATTAAATTAAATTAATTACATTAGCCACAAAACCATTGGATTGTGTGTCTCATGATGTAAATAATGCCTTTCAAATGCATGTGAGTTCAAACTTCCAATACAATATGCACAAATCTTTATTCGATCTCCTATGCTATTTTCAAGCACTCAAGCTACTTTTTGTTGGCTTTAAACTTAAAATAGAAGGAGCAATTTATAATATTCACACACACACGTGTGTGTGTGTGTGTGTTAGCACAATAATAATGTGTGTCTAATCCTATATCATGTGATTTAATTATTCCATAACTTTCATCAAAGGATACTTCCCATCTGCCATCTCATTTTTTGAATGTTCAAAATGAGAAAGTTTTGTCGGTATTCAATATTAAAGTACACAACTTCGGGGAAAAATATAATTTTTTTAACCTCAACTTGGAAAAAATAATTGAAAGATCGGTATTTGCGAAAATTTATTTATTGATTTCCCATGGGAAGGAGATCTAGGGAAAGATATATTGTTCAGCGAAGAACTATTATATATATATTTATATATATATATTTGTTTCTGATAAAATGTATTATATCAATGCCACAAAAGGGAACACTGTACTTTAAAAATTGTTAATGTCTTATATATCGCAGGGTGGCAAATGAATTATTTTACTATTAAATATATAATGATTAAAGTTTAGCTTTTGATAATTTATGCTTAATTATTTCTTTATTTATTCTGATTTGCCTATTCTGGGATATAAAGTATAAATAATTTGTTTCAATTAAGAGGTTTTTACTTTTTAGTGCTTCAATTCAAAGAGTTCATAAAAAAATTATTTGACTAATACTTGACTAATTTACTCATGTAATCAAAATTGACTACACATTACCCTCATAACATCGTTGAGTCTAAAAAATAAAAATAAAAATTTTTGTGGCTGCCACAATTTAAAATACGGGATTATTTCACTCCCATAAAAGGAAATAGTTCCATATGATTATATGAACCCCCCAAACCAATAAAAACTTCTTCCCTTGCCAAACGTATACTCCTTCTAATCCTATATATAATATACAAATAATTGAATATGTACGTAAAAAAATCAATTAAATTTGGTTAAAAATAATAAATGTATAAAAAATATATTTTACTTTCCAAAAATATCCTTTATGAGGAGAGAGGGAAGGGAGCAAAATAATTAATACAGTGACATGTCATTATTAATAAGGAAAAATAGAAGAAATTGTTAAATTTTCAAACGTCATTATTTTAAGTGTATCTTATAAATAGGATCAAATTGTCCCCAACATTTTATCTTATATATGAGGTGGACAAAGTGCTGGATACTTTCCCACGTTTTCTCTCTTATCTGTTTTGGCTTCCCCCCTTTATGATTGTAAAGTGTGGCCTAAATGATGTCGATTTAGAATTTGAGATGAACTCTAGCAGAAATTAAACATAATATAATGTTCACGATAATTAATTAAGCGCGAACAAAGTTAATAATTACGATTCCCCGACAAATATGCTTTACAAGTTGTCTGACATATATATGTCTGTATGATATAGATAATGAAAAGAATAATGATTTTATAAGTAATATTTGGATCTTGAAAATGAATATATATATATATATATATATATAAATCAAGTTCCCTGCATGTTGTGAAGTCAAGTATTTGCACTTTGATGTATCTACGTTTCTTAGATATACGTTTGAATAATGGGAAGAAACAGAGTTGGAACTACAGTTAAATGCATAAAGATTTATATAAATGGCTACAACCAAATAGTGAAGTGTTTCAGTCTTTCAGATGGGCATGAGTTGTGTTGATTTCTAAAGTGGGAAAGTTACATATGTTAGATAGGAATAAAATTTAAAACTTATTAAATTTTAAGATTTTTATTTATTCCCATAAAACATGTTAATTAGAATTAGGTATTGGAGTTTTTCTTTTTAAATTAAAGAAGAAAAAAGGTAACCCTAGCTCTTTTCCTTGACGAAATTTAATTTACATTGTCATCTAGTGCTGCGATATTCAAAAGACACAAACTTTGCAGAAAACTTTTTTTTTCATATTATTATTATTGTTACTACACGTTTGGTTAAACCAATAAACCAGTAAACTACTATAGTATTATAGCAGGTGGCAAAAAAAATCTATAGTGCAGCCAATTCGATCAAGAATTTCAGATCGTATTGAATTCTATACTACCTTTCATCATTAATATAAAAAATTAATTAAATAATTTATAGATATTAAGGAAATCAATTAGTAAGTTAGTTATTTGTAATAAATATATATATTTTTCTCTAAAATACCTTTGCTAATATTACAACTACTTTTTGATGAATATGGACCCTTTTATCATGTGTAATCATTATAGTGACTACTTTGTAAAAATAAATAAATAAATATGAAAGATAAAGTGAATTAAGATTTCATATTTAATATCAAATTAAATGTTTAACTAGTTTTTATATTAAGGAGTCCAAGTAGTATTATTTTTCTTTGAAAATTTGAAAGTGTCATCATTTTGAGCGTAAGAAAATGCACGACACTCTTGTCAGAACTATATGTCTGTGTATATATATAATTAAATTATATTTTTTAATTGCCAAAAAAATTATCTTTAATATAAGATCCATTTAATTAATTTGATTAAATTAAGAAAGTTAGATAAGTTAGTTAATTATAAAAAAAGTGACATATTTTTCCTAAAACACCATAATTATTTTTTTTAATACCTCATCTCCCTCTTTTACTTGATTATGGTTGAGGGAGTATCCATAAGGATAATTTAGAGAAAATTAATGAATATGAGAAATGGATCTTATATTTAAGATTAAAACTAACTCAAGAATATTAAGGACCGGATGAGTATTATTTTAATCGTGAGGTAAACTCCGATTGATTCCCTAACCCATGAATCACATTGCTTAGATGGGTCCATTTTCAGCGCCTTATCATATTATTATGATATACAGAAGAGGCAGCTCTTCTTGCAGAGTAGTACCAGCCATTTATTATTATAAATAGGGAATCCAGCTTCTTCCACGAGACGACTGAGCTTGCTTCCACAATCCACATGGCTTCCACCTTTCAATACCTCCTCCTTCTCTTGCTCTTCATCATTGCTCCTTCTTCTTCTGCTAAATCTTCTTTCAGACCCAAAGCCCTCGTAATCCCAGTCACTAGAGATGACTCCGCTCTCCTCTATGTTACTCAAATCCATCAGAGAACCCCACTCGTTCCCGTCAAACTTGTCCTTGATGTCGGCGGCCAATTCGTGTGGGTCGATTGCAAACAGAACTACACCTCCTCCACGTACCGCCCTGCACGCTGCAACTCCACCCAATGCCACCTTGCCGGCGCAGACATATGCAGCGAATGCTTTACGTCTCCCAGGCCAGGCTGCCACAACACCTGCATCCTATCGCCGGAAAACCCCCTTAATGGCGTCGCCACCACCGGCGACGTCGGCCAAGACGTTGTATCTGTCCGGTCCACTAACGGATTCAACCAGGGTCGAAAAGTCGCCGTTTCCAGCTTCATATTCTCATGTGCGCCCACTTCCTTACTAAGCAACAACCTCGCCGACGGTGTGTCCGGTGTGGCTGCTCTAGGTCGGACCAAAGTAGCTTTTCCTTCTCAATTCGCTTCCGCTTTCAACTTTCCCAGAAAGTTCGCCATTTGCCTCGCTTCCCGTAAATCAAAGGGTGTTGTGTTCTTCGGAGACCGCCCTTACGTTTTTCGTCCGAACGTGAACGCCGCCGAATCTCTCACTTACACACCACTCATTCACAACCGACCAACCTCAGGTTTCGATTTCGAAAAACGACAGGCTTCGTCGGAGTACTTCATCGGAGTCGAATCCATCAAAGTCGACCAAAAAGTTGTGCAGATCAGGAAAAAATTACTGTCCATAAACAAGAAAGGCCTAGGTGGGACTAAGATAAGCACGTTGCACCCGTACACAGTTCTGGAGAAGTCGATCTACAAGGCGGTGACGAAGGCATTTCTTAAAGAAATGGCTGCTCGGAACATCACCAGGGTGACTGACGTTGTGTCTCGCTTCGATTATTGTTTCAGTACGAAGAACATCGGAAGCACGCGGCTGGGCGCGGCGGTGCCGACCATCGAATTTGTGCTTCAGAATAATGTGACTTGGCCCGTTTTCGGAGCAAACTCCATGGAGCCGACGTGGACTGATGACAATGTGCTGTGTCTTGCCGTGGAGAATGGAGGCGACAGCCCCAAGGCCTCAATTGTGATCGGAGGCCATCAAATGGAGAACCATCTTTTGCAGTTCGATTTGGATTCTTCTAGGTTAGGGTTCAGCCCTTTGCTCTTTGGGAAGAGGACTACGTGTGCAAACTTCAATTTCAAGTCCGCCGCATGAACCGCCCCTCGCCGCCGCCGCCACAATTTCAGCCTTTGAACGAGACGCACGTGCATGGAACACACACGCACATTTATCTTTCCTCGTTCTTACCAATTTATTTCTTCTCATGAGGTCATTTTGTCCTTTTTTTTAAATGTGAAAATGAGATGTCATTTTCTGTAGTTGACCAATTGATGGGACCAGTTGCGTTTTATTTTAGCAGTATGCTTGGCTGAGCTGAATAACAAGTGTGTAACTTTGTGTGTTTGATTAATGTTTAACTGTTTCTCATTTAATATGAGATGAGATTTTTTTCAGTTGTAAAATTATGCTTTATGAATGAATTTAGCGCTTTGAAAGTGAAGGATGACAACAATTCTCTTCCATTTTTCCTCGCTAAATTTTTCTTCCTCTTGTTGAGTATCATAGATTTCTTTTCAAAACATTCAGTCTCCAACTAAAGTTTGTATAAAGCGTAGACTTTGTTTGGTATGAAGAGAACAGAGGGGAGAAAAGTTTTTAATGAATTCAATTTAAATAAATGGGAGAAGTGGAGTTGTAAAATTTGAACAAAGAGAATATGTAAGATGAGAGATTAAGAAAAATGAATTAAAAAGTTTCTCCACTTCCTTTAAATGAAACTCATTAGAATTTCTTTCCCTTTTATTTCCCCCATACAGACTGTAAAGGTTTCTTATTGATCACTTAGCTTGAAGGTTCTCATATCCATCATCTCGGTCCTTAATATATGACTCAATTCTTAAATTAGTTTTGGTCCTAAATATAAGATCCATTCATTATATTTATCAATTTTCTCTAAATTATCACTATGGATACTCCTTCAACTATAATCAAGTAGAAGAGGGAGAGGGGGTATTAAGAAAGATTATTATGGTGTTTTAGGAAAAATGTGTTACTTTTCTTATAATTAACTAACTTATCTGACTTTCTTAATCTAATCAAATTAGTTAAATGGGTCTTATATTAAGGACTAGAGGAGTATATAATAATAAATTTGGATTAATTGTTAACGTTAATAAACTTTTATTTTATGTTTCATTATTTTTATCAGAAACCCTCAATCACTATTAATGGAATAGGCTAATGGCATCACATGAGTATGCTTGACATAACATTCAATAATAAAGAATTGTTAATTTATGAAATCTACTTGTCATTTCCTGATGCAAAAATTGTTATTGTGTTATCCTGAATATTTTTATTACTCATATTACCAAAGAGTATTTAGTGGCCCAATGGTCGCAAAATTAAAGGTGAAGGAAATGTATAATTAAGGACACCAATCCCCCAAAATTGTAATGCGGCTTTAAAATTCAACATTATTTTTTATTCTATTTCAAAGTATTTTTCTTTAAAAAATCATAAAATTTGAAAAATACACCATTTTATGTCTATAAAATATCAAAATGTCACTAATTTTATGTACGTCTTACACGAAAACCTCCACCTGATCACCTTAACGCCATTTTCTAGAATTTGGTACTCATTTTTGCAATCCAATTAATTCTCTCCTTCTTCGTCGTACTCTCCTCCTACTCATCCCGATTGTATCGTCGTCTCCATTCATCATTCTTTTCGATGGCGCTATGGCAGAATCGAGGAGGAGCTTTGGTGTAACTGTTCTTATTTTATCCATGCGTGGCTAGATTTCTAATTCCTTAACGATGGTGATCAAGCTTGAGTCCAGAGCTACAAAAGAGAGTTTCATCCCTCTTAATCTTAATTCTACCTTTGCTTGTATTAAATGTCATTAACCATGACCAATAAAAAGGAAGAAATAAAAAACCTTTGAAGTTGAAAAAAAAAGAAATAAGCGAAAAAAACTTCTGAAGTTAGGGAAATACAAAAGGTATTAGAAAGTGTCCTTCCTTTGTTTCCATTTCTATTGTTATTCACAAATGTTGTTGCATGATTTCTTTTCTTTTCTTTTCTTTTTTTTTGCTGCTTTTCTTGGATTAATCTCTTGAGGTTTTACGTGTGGATATGTCTTACATAATCTTGACAAGGACCTGAAAGCTCAAATTCATGAGATGTTTAAACCCTTCCTTCCTTCCACCGTCACCTATTATAGCATTAGATAATGCAATCCAATAAAGTTTTATTATATATATATAATGTATGAAAATAAATTAAAATAATATAAAATAAAATAGCCACAAAAGTATTGGATAATGTGTCTCATGTTAATAAAATATTTCAATGCACAAATCTTGATTCCACTTTACATGCTATTTTCCGGCACTTAAGCTGGTTTTTGTCGGTTTGAAACTTAAAATAGAAGGAGTAATTTATAATATTCACATATATATTATTTATTTTAGCATAATAAACATGTGTGTCGAATCAGACATCATGTGATTTAATTATCCCATAACACTCCTCAAAGGATGCTTCCCATCTCCCTTTTTGAATGTTCAAAATGAGAAAGTTTTGTCGGTATTCAATATTAAATTACCCAACTTTGGGAAAAAAATAATTGAAATATCGGCATTCACGATAATTTATTTATTGATTTCTTATATGAAGCAGATCTAAGGAAAGATATTGTCTAATAAAGAAATTTTTTTCATATCCACTTGTTTCTGATAAATTTTATTATATATGTATCCCTTCTGATGCATAGGGATACTTAATCACAATATGTTAGCTAGGGAACAGCCACTTGACCTTAAAAATTGTTAATGTTTTATATTATAAAGGGTGACAAATGAATTATCTTATAACTAAATATATGGTGTTGTAACTTTAAATTTTGATAATTTATGTTTAATTTTTTTAATTTATGGATATTTGGGATATAAACAACTTGCTTCAATAATTACTAAGTTTTAAATTAGTGTTTCAATTCAAAGTGTTAATAAAAAATTACAATTGTAAATATTTTGAATCTTTACTTTACTTCTAGTAAATATTTGACTAATTTACTCAGGGAAGCAAAAGTATCTACACCTTATTCTTATAAATACTTCGGGTCTAATAATCCATAGTTTAATAACTACTTAATATTGAAAATAGGAAAAATTGTACATAAATATGTACCTTAAATACCTAAATTCAAGAATTGATATTTTCTGCATATGAAATCTTTCAGAATATTAGTATTTTCTGTATATAAAAATGTGTCAAATATTTATGAATAATAAAATTTTCAAACAGTTATTTATGAGAAATTTTCCCTTGAAAATATTGGAGCATTTATCCAAATTCCAGAACAAAACAAAGATCTTAATTAACTACTAAGAAAGAAGAAAAAAGAGCACAGATAATGAAACTTTGATTAATAATCAAACATAACAAACCAAACCATTAAAAGCGAGCCAACCTCAAACTTTAATTTTGAGGGCTATATAAGGTGTGAATCCATGTTAACTTCTTTTTGTAAGTGAGGACTCAAACATATCCTTCACAATCACACCCCTACTGCTAAAGCGAATGACTCTTCATATAGATTTTTCTTTTTCCAAAACTTTTTATCTATATCTCTATATGTATATATATAGATATATATAAATTAAAATCTTGCATTGTTTGAATGAGAAATGAGTAATTAACTCTACTCACTAACTAATATTTCAATATTAACCAATAAAGCGGTGAGATATATACATTTATATAATATTCACGCTAATTAAGAATGTAATTCAAGCGTTAATAATTGAGATTCTTTCGCGCGCACACATTATGTCAGACAAATTGTCTAAAACACATGCATATATAGATAGATATATGTAAAGAATGAAAAAAAAATTAATGATTTTAAATATAATAAAGTGATTTTTGGATCTTGATTGGCTGCAATTTGACTGCATGTTACGAAGTGATTGCACTTTGATGAATCTAGGTTTCTCACAGGTTTAGTCTTCATAATCAATTTTTGAAGACCAAAATCGTGATTTTCTAAAATTATAGCCAAACATAATTTGATTAAATTAATAATGAGACCGTCGACCATGTTTCTCATAAAATTAACTTTGGGTAAAACAGAGTTCATAAAATTGATTTCATATTGGGATGGATTAGTAGGAAAGTATAACTGAGTAACTTAGGAGAAAACCATGTTTTTTCCCGATAATTTATTTTACCCAAAGCTGATTTTATGAAATAACCAAAATTATAAATCAATTACCACCAAATCTAGTCACAAAATCATAATTTTATTCAAAATTTTTTCAACTCAAATACACGCAGCTGCACACTTTTTTTTTTGTTTTTTTTTGCCCCCTTTTTGGCCATGACTGTCACACACTGTTAATCAGCTCAGTAATATCGTGGAAGAGGACATGTTATTATTTTCATACGAAGAATAAAGGACATATGATTCGTTAGAACGCAACGAGGAATAGATATATATATATATATATATATATATATATCTCTATTCATCCCGTTCGAAGTCTCAATTCTGAGGGTGGGGGCGGCGGAGAAGGGCAGTTCAAGCGGCGGAGGTGAAATTGAAGTTTGCACACGTAGTCCTCCTCCAAAACAGCAAAGGGCTGAACCCCAATCTAGAAGAAGCCAAATCGAACTGAAGAAGATGGTTCTCCAACTGAAACCCTCCGATCACAATCGAAGTCCTCGGCTTGTCACCTCCGTTCACTACACCAAGACACATCACATTGTTCTTCACCTGCACCACCGAGTTCGCTCCGAAGATGGACCAACTCACATTATTCTGAAGCACAAACTCGATGGTCGGCACCGCCGGACCCAACCTTGTGCTTCCGACGTTGTGGCTGCTGAAACAAACTTCGAAGGGAGCCACACCGCCCACCCTGGTGTAGTTCCTAGCTCTTATAAATGCCTGCGTCACCGCCTTGAAGATCGACGCCTCCAGGACTGTGTACGGGTTCACCGTACTTATCTTAGTCCCACCAAAGCCTTCCTTGTTTATGGACAGCAATTTTTTGTTGATCTTGGGCACAACTTTGTCGTCGATCTTGATGGATTTTACTCCGACGAAATACTCCGACGAAGGCTGTCCTTGTGAGTGAGCCGAAGCTGTGCTTTCTGGGTTGAGAATTAGGGGTGTGTGAGTGAGAAATTTAGCGGCGTCGACGTCGGGAAGAAGAACATAAGGGCCGTCGCCGAAGAAGACAACACCTTTTGAATTTGAGGCGAGGCAAATGGCGAATTTTCTGGGAAAGCTAAAAGCGGAAGCGAATTGAGAAGGAAGAGCGATTTTGGTTCGACCGAGACCCGCCATGCCGGATACTCCGGTGGCGAGGCCATCCAATAAGAAAGTCGATGCACATGAGAATATGAACCGGGAAGCGGCGACGGTTCGACCCGGGTGGAATCCGTTCGTGGACTGGACGGAGACAACGTCTTGGCCGACATCGCCGAAAGTGGCGGTGCCGGTAACGGTGTTGTCCGGCATTACGCTGCAGGTGTTGTTATTGCAGCCGGGCCTGGGAGGCGAAAAGCAATCGCCGCAACTGGAGGCGTCGGCGAGGGAGCAGAGGGCGGATTTGCAGCGTGCAGGGTGGTAGGTGGTGGAGGAGTATTTCTGATCACAATCGACCCAGAGGAATTGGCCGCCCAGATCAAGGACAAGGTTGAGGGGGACGAGTGGCGTTCTCTGACGAATCTGGGTAACATATTGGAGAGTGGAGGCATCTTTAGTAACAGGAAGCACAAAAGCCTTGGGTCTGAAAGAGGATTTAGCAGAAGAAGAAGGAGAAATGAAGAAGAACAAGAGAAGAAGAAGAAGGAGGTATTGAAAGCTGGAAGCCATGTGAATTGTGGAAGCGAGCTCATTCATGTGAGAAATGCAGTGGCTGGATCCTACATTTATAACAACAACAATAATAATATAATAATCCGCCAAGGTTGCCTCTTTTGAATATCATAACAAAAGAGATGCGGTGATGGCTGCGTAATGAATATAAGAGCCGCAATTTATAGAGATTAAAGCGGCGGTTAAAAGATTAGTATCCAGTTCATGATTATTTAGCATATGTTTGTTTTATGCATAAAACTCATGTTACATGGTAACTGTCTTATAATGCCAAATCATTTAAAATAAGCTGGGTCAAACAGGTGTTGAATTGATATAAGTTAATTAAAATAAGTGTATAACTCTAAAAAGACTAATATTTAAATATAAAGACATTAATTTGGTATATCTCAGGGTATCTTCAAGTTACTTTGGACTTGATGAGATTAATATCTATTGGGTTAGGAGCGTTAAAATTAAAACCCTTATAACAAATGCACTTTTCAGGATTCAAAACTAATGTTCTCCTTCTTACAATGTGAGACCGCTTACCATCTCAACATAGAACTTGTAGGTAAAAGATATTAATTTATATGTGAGTGGTACATTCATGAATAAACTACATATACCTCAAAAAATAACATTACTAAAACACAATTCCAACGGATTTTATTATTATTTTTAAATGTCATTTCAAACTGAATAATGGAAGAAAAAAATATATAAAATACAGGCTGATGCAGGTTGGTTTATCTAAGCCTTTTAAGTAGACTGCCTAAGAGACTACGTCATTATTAGTTTAATAATGTAACTTACTTATTTAAATTTAGTTTTAATATGATAAAGCATGACGAGTTGATGATAATGCGCATTTAGTCAAATTCGTCAACGTAACATGCACGGGTTATGTTTTTAAATTTCTCATTGAAAATTACATAGTTCAATAGATGCATAAATTTCTCAACTTCACATGATCTATACTCTCATTTAAAACTATATATATATATATATATATATATATATATAAGAGACAGTTACTCATCACCAACAAAATAGCCAGATAATTAATTTGTCGGTATTAAAAAATTAGTTGAATTAGTTATTTGTAATAAATGAATATTATGTTCTTTAAAATGTTATCATCAATTATGTGCATTGAAACCACCCTTAATCAAAACTCCTTAACATGTACAATTATTATAAGGATTGTTTGGGACAAAATGGATAAAAAATAGAGATAATATAAATTGAAAATTTTATATTTAAGACCTAATTGAATATCCAACTAACTCTTATGTTAAAAACTGGTGGTAATACCATAAAATCTTGAATGTTGATTTATACATTTTGATAATTATATTGAAAGTCATCAATAAAGATTGACCATATTTATTGGAATTGGAAAAAAAATGTACTGTCATGGCTGTTAAGATAGTACTATAAGAACTAGAAACTAATCTATGGATGTTAAAAAGATTAGTTAAATTAGTTATTTGTGATAAATAAATATTGTCTTTTTAAAAATACCCCTATCAATCATGTGCATTAAAATTACTATTTGATGAAAACTTCTTAAAATGTGCAATTATCATAGGAATTACTTGAGGGCAAAATGGATGAATATTGATCAAGACAACATATATTGGGATATTATATTTAGAATCAAATTGGGATCGTATATTAAAGACTAGATATAGCATTTTTTTCCAAGTTCATTGAAATAAAAATTGTGAGAAAATATGACTAAATTATATACTTGGTCCTTTAACTTTATGTAAGGTTTCAGTTTAATTCCTTAACTTTAAAAATTTAACCCTAAAATTATTAGTCTTTAATGATAGTTTTTGTAACAACCATAGTTGTTTTGAAAATTAAATTTAATATGTTAGTATTTAGTAATGTTTTATTAACATTCAAGAGCTTAATATCATTATTTTTCGTTAATGATTTTAGGATTAGATGACTAAAAGTTTACTTTTTCAAGTTAAGGGACCAAAATAAAACATTGTGTAAAGTTAAATGACTAAAAACATACTTTAGCCGAGAAAATATTATATAACATATTGTTGCAAGTCCTATAGTCATGAAGGCTAAAGCAGGTTCAAACATTGCACACCATGAAGATATTTGCAATTTTTTAAGATAATTTCATCCTAGTCCTGAAAATTAATACTACTTTCTAAATATAAAATCTAATTTATAGTACAATTTGTATTACAAACTAGATTTTATATTTAAAACTGGAGGTAATATATAACTTATGAAAATTCATGTCCGGTAGGAGAAAAAAATTCTTCAAACTTAACATGGCTACTGGTGAAGGAGGAGGATGCCATTATATGGTCCCGTTTTCCTTAAACCCCCCCCCCCCAAAAAAAAAGCTGTACTAATCATTTGATTCAACAAATTGGTAGCTGGTGGGTTCAATTTTCATAATCAAAACCCTGAACTTGAAATTAAAAAAATCATATATAATTAAAAAAATTAAGAATGAAATGAATTGGGATAAAGATCATGTTCACGCCAGATTCTTTGATAAATATGCTTTACAAGTTGTCTGACATATATGAAATGAAAAAAAGAAGAAGCATTCTGCAAGGGCTGGCTTTGTTTTTAATAAAGTAATCGCTTATATTATATACAAAGGAAAAAGTTAGCATTGCCAAATTAGACATACATCTAATAGCAACTCACCAGAAAATTCACATGGCAGTACCTAGAAATAACAGAAACAAAAATTGATTACAACCATCCAAACAAAATGTCAAATTAAAACCTCTATCATATTAAAGAATAAAAAAAAAAATACAACAATCAACTTCCAGTCACATAAATAAAATCATGATAAAAACCAAAGCCAAGAAGTATTCTTCCGATTCTTAACATAAGACCTAGTTAAAGAGTTGATATTGGTCTTATATGTAAGATCTATTTCATATATTTATCAATTTTTTTTCAAACTAACTCTATTGATATTCCCTCAACAATAATAAAGTAGAAGAACAAGAAAAGAAAATTAAGAAAGATGCTTAGGGTGTTTTAAAAAAAATATATTATATTAACTAATTTAACTAACATTCTTAATCTACTCAAATTAGTTAATTAGATCTTACATTAAGGACCAAAGGAGTATGTTATTAAAGCTAATTTTAAGAAGTACAAAGACCAACATCGGCCGAACAACGCAAACGGCTAAATTGAAAAGGAGCACTGCAACCATAACTAATTAAAGTACTCCAAAAATGACACATGAAGACATGGAAAGCGCCTGCGACACCCCTTTAATCCCCTAATCCGTGTGCTTAATGAGGCCACCACGATCATATAACAACAACTGAACCAACAAAACAATACCAAGCAACTTGATGATGCCTTGAAACAGTGTCAGGAATATTTAGTGTTTGATGGTACTTCGAACAGGATTACATCAATAAAAGGATACTTGTGTCTACGGGGGTAAAAAAATACCAAATAACTTGATGAACAATAGAATTTGCTAGACTCTTGAACAAGTAAAGCAGGGGATTAAGACTGGCTAAAATATCCGAATTGAATTTCCCAGTGGGATTCCAATTGTTAAAGAGGACCAGACCAAACAAAAAGATACTTAATAATGTTTTTTGGTAGCTTTGAATATTCAAAGCCAACATCTTAGATTTTGCACAACTACTTAACATACCTGGCCATTGCAGCTCCTTAACGTTGAACACTGTAAGAAAAGACGTTCAGTTTTTTATCAATAGTTTCAAATTTAGTGCTTTCATTTTGATTTGATTTGGTGGATTTTTAATTTACCATTTTTGATCAATTTAAAAATCCAAACTAGAGTTTGGTTCATCAATTTTCTGATCAATAAAATTGGTGGCCGGTGCAGTCCAATTCTCAAAATCAAAACCCTGGACATATGGAATTAAAAATTATTTAACAAATTCATATATAATTAAAAAGGTTAAGGAAGAAATAAACTAGGAGAAAGATAGTGTTCAAGCTAAGCATGTGCAATTTAACAATTAGGATTCTCCGTCAATTCTGCTTTACAAATTGTCTGACATATATAATATAAAAAAATAAAAAAGTTAATAATTTTAAATATAATAAGTAATATAATTGGATCTTGGTTGGCTGCAGTTGGCTTTAATTTTGAGTGCATATTGTGAAGTAAATTACTTCCGCTTTCATATGAATGTATTATTCTTAGTTATGGGTGAATAATCACTACAAAAAAACATGGTTTTAGCGACGGAATTTTTCCGTCACTAATCCGTCGCTAATTCGATTTTTTAAAAAATAAAATAAAATGCCACGTGGCACCTCTACCAATTGCCACGTCATCACTGGGACCACCTCCACGTGTTGCTGCCACCTCACATCTACTGCCACGTGTGCTGCCACCTCACCTCCGCCTGCCACGCGTGCGCCATGTGTCACCACCACATAATTCCCTTTTTAAAGTGACTTCTCCATGGCTTGAACCAATTGCCACGTCATCACTGGGACCACCTCCACGTGTCGCTGCCACCTCACATCTACTACCACGTGTGCTGCCACCTCACCTCCGCCTGCCACGCGTGCGCCATGTGTCACCACCACATAATTCCCTTTTTAAAGTGACTTCTCCATGGCTTGAACCAATTGCCACGTCATCACTGGGACCACCTCCACGTGTCGCTGCCACCTCACATCTACTGCCACGTGTGCTGCCACCTCACCTCCGCCTGCCACGCGTGCGCCATGTGTCACCACCACATAATTCCCTTTTTAAAGTGACTTCTCCATGGCTTGAACCAATTGCCACGTCATCACTGGGACCACCTCCACGTGTCGTTGCCACCTCACATCTACTGCCACGTGTGCTGCCACCTCACCTCCGCCTGCCACGCGTGCGCCATGTGTCACCACCACATAATTCCCTTCTTAAAGTGACTTCTCCATGGCTTGAACCCAGGACCTCCTCCGTGCGCATGTGCAGCTTTACCAGTTAAGCTGCAATGAACCTGTTGACTTATTATGTAAAAAAT